GTCAGGGAAAACCCCACACGCGGTTACAGAGGATTATCAGTTAGGTTTTAAAAAACCTCCTGAAGCAAAATAATTAAAACCAAGTTTTGGATTTATGAAACCTTTGATTTGTGAAATTTCAATAAAGGTTGATTTCACCACTTCTTTTACACCTGGATTACTCTAGTGTTGCTCCAGTTCCGAAACTACAACACCTAGACACTTCAAAATTGGACTAGATTATTCTGTTTCTCTGGCTAAAAAATTTGAGCAGAATAAAAAAAAAAGTCAAAATAGGCAAGTGTTTGTTAGTATGACAAGTCACAGTTAAAACCATTACAAAATGCCAAACTTCAAACTTGTAAATATTTTTATTTCACAGCTTTTGTTTGATTTCAGAGATTTGAATGCATCTCTAATTCTGCTTGTAGTTTCATGAGAAGCTCTTCTCTCTCACTTCAAAAAAGAGATTCAGTTAAATTATTTTTTCTGTGTTTTATATATGATGGGTTTTTTTATTCTCATATTGATTCAGTCACTTTAATTCTCTTACATCTCCTCTATTTGGTCATGTTCAATTTTTTTCCACTGCCTCATCCCTGGCTAGGGCTTTTGTGTTTTCCGGTTCATTTATGGATGCCTGAATTACATCTAAAAATGTAATGTTAAAAACTGCTTCCTAAAAACACAAATATTTACTTACATTTTATTGAAGATAATTTACAAATCTTTCCTTTTTCTTTATGCTAATATGTTTCATTATTTCAGACCCTGCTTCTCCTCACCCATTTCTACCTATCTTTGTTCTGACTAGTGGACTTTTAAACAGCAGGTTTCTTTTTAAAAATGTGTTTGTTGGGCAAATGGTCTTTTTGCACAAGTTAATAAGGACAGGTAAAACTGAAAGGGATTGCATGCAGGAAAAGGGAACAGAACCCCAGAGAGCTGCATCATTGACTGTTGTCTTCTCATATGGTGTCATGATGAGGTGGTTTTAAATATTTTACTATTAGAGCAAAAAAATGTAGTCTGGGTTTGAAGTGTCTGTGTGTTGTGGATCTGGAATTAAAGCAGTTCTAGTGTGGTCCAGATGCATAAAAAGTGGTGGAATTTAACCTTTATTGAAGTTTCACAAATCAAATAAAGGTTTCACAAATCCCAAACATGGGTTTAGATATGCTGTCATTAGTTAGGAATAAACTTGTCGAGGTTTGAAGAGTCTTGGTGTTGCAGTTTTTTAGTAGACTAGATTAACGATGCTGAATGTAGTGAAATATTAGTTGGAATTGCCCTTTAAGCATTTCCCAAATCAGAATCTGCAATCAGAAACCAATTTCACCATTGCGAAGCCCGTGGCGTCAGTGAAGCTGGAAGCTGCTGCTACTAAGGTGTAGCATATCCATTTTGTTGTTTTTCTAAATAAAATCCTTAATATTCAATCTGACAGAGTAGCTGTAGCATATGTCACCAAAGCTAGAAGCTGCCGTTATAAAGCTGCCGGCAGCTGTGAAAGGTTGTGGCATGTCGTAAAAACTGTGGCAGGTCCACTGGCAGGTCATGGCAAGTAGCGGCAGGTGTCACCGGAGGTGCCACTTCACTCCCACTGCCACGATTTAGCTTGCTGTCTCTCGAAAAAGCAGGTACCAGGCTGGAAAAAAGATTTGGTGCAACACAACAATTTGTCAAATTGCTATGTTCTCATGGTTCGGGTCTAAACTCCATGCATGTTATGAACCCACATTCGAGCTCTGTATCCTTTGAATTTTAACTACTTCAACATGCTACTACGAGCTGCACAGTTCTGGACGTTTCTTCCCTATCAGGTGGTCTCCACCCTCTGTGTTCATTCTGGATGTTTACTCCGTGTTGCAGAGGGCTGGTTTTCTGTGACACCAGAGAAGATTGCTGAGCACATTGCCCTCAGGGTGGAACAGAGCTTTGCTGACTCCCAGGTGGTGATCGATGCTTTCTGTGGTGTGGGAGGAAATGCCATTCAGTTTGCACTCACTGGAAAGAGAGGTGAGCTTACTATTTATTTTGTGCTCTCTTGATTTCACATCCCAGTGGAGGGAACTTTACATTCTGGAGAATATGAAAAGGAAAACATTGGGTTTAGCAATTCTTCTGTTGAACACTTTGAACTCCCCTATGAACACAGAATATGTAGTTTGTTCCCGGTGTTGTTACGTCAACCCTCTACAAGACAAAATTGCCCCTACATTGTGCAAGTGCTGAGTTGATTTTTTTTTTCATTTTAATTTATTATTTTGTTTTTTAATTATTATGCTCTGTGGCTTTTCTAGTCTTGGCAATTGATATAGATGCAGAGCGACTGGCCATGGCTCGGCACAATTCTGTGGTCTACAACGTTGTTGACCGAATTGACTTCCTTCAAGGAGACTTCCTTCAGTTGGCGCCCACTCTGCGTGGTGACGTAGTCTTCCTGTCCCCACCATGGGGCGGACCGGACTATTTGAATTCGGATGTGTTTGACATTCAGACCATGATGAAACCTGATGGATATCCTTTAAAGTGATGCCAGTTGAATTGTTGTATTTATTCACTTGCTTGAAGAGTGTACCAAAAGCTGTGGCTAAACTCTTTTACTGTTTAACACATTAAATAAATTTTAGTCCATATAAATTCCTAAAGAGAATATTTTTAAGTGAAGTAAAGTTTGTTTTTATAGCACATTTCAGCAATAAGACAGTTCAGTTTTTACATGATAAAAACATAATAGAATTAACAAACATCAGAATTCATAATAGTCATTCCTGTCGGTGAAAGTTGTCAGCTTTGTATCAAAGAACTGAAATAAATCATCTTATTGATAAAGATTTGTTTTCATCCTTAACCAGTAATACCTTCAGGATCTTCAGCCAAGCCAAACGGATAACAGAAAATATTGTGTATTTCCTGCCTCGTAATGCAGATATGAATCAGGTATATGTTTTCCTTATGTGCTTATGCAATGCATTACAGAATTTAATATAAAAATAAGCTGCCTTCTTACACAGAAATATTGCATACATTGTCTCAAATGCTTAGAGTTTATCCTCCTGACTACCAGTAGTTCATTTTTGTCCTCTGTAGAGGACATTTCTAAACTTGAATATCTCCCACCCCCTGCATTCTACTGAATTAATTCCTTTTGGTATCTGAAGAGGACATTTAGGGCTTTTCAATGATACCACATGTGAAGGGGTGGGACTTTTTTACGTACCTTTTTCTAATTAATAAAAATGGCATTCATCAGTAATAACACATTTTATGGGAAGAGACAAAGTAAGTGCATAAAACCTTTTATTACCTTACAAATACTGTGGGACAAATCAGTTCTGCATCGGATGAAGCCTTTCTTTTTGTACATATAGTTAAAATTAGAAATTCACATACACTTAACAGAGACATTTTTTTCTCACTGTCTGAAGTTAATCAGATCAAATTTCTCTTGTTTAAGAATTACCAAAATTATTTCTTTGCCAAATTCCACAATAATGGGAGAAGGAATGGGTAAAAAAATAAAATTAATGTCTTAAAAAGTAAAAATTTATACAATGATCACTGTCTCTCTAAACAATTAGAGAATCCTAGATGATGATGTAACAGCTTGGGAGAAGTCTGTTAAGTTAACTGACACATTTAAGTTAATTGGAGGTGGACCTGTGATGTTAAAGTCAAACTGTGGATCTGCACCATCTGCATCAGCACATTCAGATGCTTGAAGGTGCTGCATTCTTTTTAAGTTTGTCAACTTCTGGTTTCAACTATAGAAACACACCTTTCAACTTCAGAATAATGTTCATAAATGCCTACAATTTCACAATCACATCATTTTCAATTAAAAAGGCCCAAGATTTATCCAGATGGGTTTCAAGTCACAACTCAAATAAACTATTCAACAATTTACTGAAAACAGCTTGATCCCAACAATTGACTCAACCTTTCTTATCAGTTTGTTGAGTCTGTTTGAGTTTTTCACCTTCATTGCAGCACCCTAGCACACCACTGCACTGAAGATGGAACTAGCCACTGATGACTGATAGAACATGAAGAGCATCCTACTGCAGATGTTAAAGGACCTGAGCTTCCGTAAAAATAGTCTGCTCATGGCCTTTTTGTACAGCACATCAGTGTTTGTAGTCCACTGTAGCTTCCAGTCTAAGGTAACACCAAAGTACTTGTAAGATTGAACCTGCTCCACATCTGCCCCTGAAATGGAGATTGGGAGCAAATATGTTTTAATAACAATAAAATAATATTCTGACCTATCCCCTCTCAATAATGAAAGAGGGGATAGGGCACACTAACTGTGGGACCTACAGTTGGTGTGAAAATTCCAATGTTAAAACAAATATTTTCATGTAAAGCAGAGTGGCTTGCAAAAAAAAGAAAAAACATTTTAGCTGCGAAGAGCTAAAGTAGCATAGCTGACATAAACATTAGCTCTCGCTAACAGAAACATATGAGGAGGGCAGAGTATCAAAATACCAGACATATAAAACGTAATCTGAAATCATTTATAATTACTCCATGTCTCATTATAATCGGAGATCAAAGCCTGGTTTACAAATTCAGTATTACACACGCACAGATATTATTACATGCGCACAAATTCTTTTACACATGCACAAATGTTTTTACACATGCACAGATATTTTAAGACTATTTTCACACCATACTTCACCTACATGTAGCAACAGCTTGAATGAGCTGAAAAATTTCTAATATTTTCATCCATGTCTCCTTGATCACAGGTCGCCTCTTTGGCAGGTCCAGGAGGGAAAGTCGAAGTGGAGCAGAACTTCCTTAACAACAAGCTTAAGACTGTAACTGCTTATTTTGGCAACCTGATAAACCCAGATGCCTAGCATTTGCCGCTTAGGATTTAGTTTTTACGTCTTGTTTTAAATTTTCTCTGCAGAAATCCTGGAAGTCAAGTGAAAGCTTGTTTTATATGTGCATTTTATCCTTTTTTGTACTTCTAAACCCAATTAAAGGTTTTATATTAAGTTTCTTTTTGTAATAAATTATTTTTTGAATTGCATGTAATTGTGTAGAAAATGTTTAGGACAAATTTGTATAAAAAACATGAAGTATGTCTTTTATAGGTTGTAAATGCAAGACTTTAAACATTCCAACAGTTTAATTAAACTTATCTGTACACTTGACAAGGTGATTCAGTATGAAGACGTTAACCTGAAGGTGGTTTGGGTTGTTAGGCTCAGCAGCCTACTAAAGAAGGCTGGTTCTGTTCTGAAGATGAAGATGCAAAGGATTCTTCATAAAATCAAGAAAGTTATGGACAACCCTGACCATTCTCTTCATGAGACTGTTATCCAATAATAGCATGTATTCTTCAGGCTTCTTTAGAACACATATTTAGGCATCTACAATAACTCTTTGAAGAGCCTTGGATCATGAGTTACATTTAATTTCCCTTTGAGATCAATAAGGTAGTTTTGAACTGAATTAAGTTGAATTGTGCACTGAGACAAGACACCTCACCGTTTTTGTCTCCAAGCATTTCAAGAATAGAAAAGGATTATCAAGTTTGGGGACAGAAGGGTGACTTCCTGCTTCTTAGCTGACAAACATGAAACACAGTCATGAGTATGCATTTAAGTAGCCCAGTTTATAACGTATAGAGAGAGCATCATGTAGTTTATCACAAAATGTATACAGCTGTATGCGACAAGTCAATGATCTTGATTCAGCTGTGTTCTGCTGATTCCAGGACAGAAGAGAACTGGAAATGTAAGGCTTTCATAACTGCAGAAACTCCAATATGTAATATGCTTTATATATTTATGACCACACCCTGATATTATGCATACAGATGGAAAAAGAGAAGAAAAACAGGAAAAACAATAGAAACGAGATCACTCAGTGTACTATAATCATAGTTATTACGGAAGTTTAAACCTTTTCCTTCATTTGCTAACTGTCTCTGGACATTTTCATGTGCTTTTTTAAAAACTATTTCGTTTCATCAAGCATTTCAAAACCAACAATTTTCTGTACTAGAGTAAGTAACTTTTTTTCATATTTGTTAATTTCACTATATCCTCTGAAAGTGGAGGAGCGGTAATCTTGCCTCTTCCTTGTGCATTTAGAAAAACACTCTGCTCCCAAATCAAAACAGCCAATCAGTCGCGTGGAGTGTCTTAGTGTGCACACGGTCATTGAAGTGGTAGGTACCCTAGTGGAAAACAAATGACCACACCCTGATATTATACATACAGGTGAAAAAGAGAATGTAAGTATGTGTGAAATAGTATATTTCACACATACTTACATTTGTTTAAGTACATTTTAAGTATACTAAGTATTAAGTATACTACATATAAATATATACAAAGTATGCTTACAGCATGCTTGTCCCAATTTTGACATTACGACTTTAAACACACTTAAATATAATTGTACCACAATACACTTTTAAGAAATATACCACATAAAAGTATACTTTAAGTGAATATACTGAAATGTCAGTATGATTTAAATTCCATCTCAGTGCATACTTTAGGCTAATAAAGTATGCCTTTTTAGGTGCCTTAATAATCTTTTACTATTTTGTTAAAATGGGAAAACAAATCTTTATAGTGTAACTTAATGTAATGTTGTTTAACAAAGAATTAAATAATGTGTTCATGTCTCAAAACATCAAACATTGACAGTTTAGTAAGAAGTTCTACAACAATATTACAGCCCTAGGCCTTTTCCTTTGGGTCTCTAACATCCATGTTTTGGACTCCTTACTCCTTAATTGGTGCTGATTGGAAGTGGAGGCAGCTGGCCAGTGTCTCCAGATGACGTCAGATCCATCTTAAGATGCACCACTTTCTTTGACTAAGCAGCTTGTCTGATGCTGAAGGAAGCTCGAAGGAGCTGGAGTGGGTGTCGGCAGGTGTGCGAGATTGGAGAACGCGGATTTTCTGAGAGTGGAAGAGTTTAAGCGATTTCTGGCGAGTAATAAGTTGATTTCTAAGGTGGTTTTGGCATAATCTGGACTGTGAGCAGATTAAGATGGCTAGTTGTAGTGGGGGATGTTCAGCAGATGAAAATATGGATACAGGATGGGCTTTAGAACATAGAAAAGGGGGAGGAGGGAAAGACGAGGGTAAAAAAGGACTAAATGTAGGCAAAAGATCTTTGGAAGATGAGGAAGAAAGTGTTGAGATAAGGAAGAAAAAAATGATGGAAGAATTTAAAGTTATATTGAAATTTAAAACGGGACAGGATATGATTGGGGTGAGTCCTATCAGTTTATCGAATGGACTAAAGAAAGTTATCGGAGATGTGGAACTAGCTAAAGTTTTAAGGGATGAGAGCCTTCTTATTATCTGTAAGAATGTTGAACAAAAGAATAAGGCATTAAAACTTCAAGTGGTATGTAAAAAAGAAGTGTTGGAAAGGAAGGTAGTGGGGGAAGAAAGAGGAACAAAAGGGGTAATATCAGGGACTCCGATTGGAGAAAACTTGGAAGAACTAAAAAAAATAATAAAAGGAGGAGAGATTTCAGGCATAAAACGATTGCAGGCTATTAGAAGTGGAGAAAGATTGGACAGTGAATCTGTGTTACTGGAATTCAAAGATAAAGTTAAACCTGATAAAGTAATGATTGGATACATGAGTTTTAATGTAAGAACTTAATTTCTTACATTAAGCACCTCTCAGATGCTATAAGTGCCAAAGATATGGTCACATTGCAAATGTGTGTAGAGGAAAACAAAGATGTGGTAGATGTGGAGGTGAACACCCTTATGGGGAATGTGGAGAGAATCCAGTTAAATGTTGTAATTGTGAAGGTAATCATACTGCAGCTTATGCAGGATGTGTGGTAAGGAAAGAAGCAACTGAAGTTCAGAAAATTAAGAAAATGACTTATGCTGAAGCAGTGAAAGAGTTGAAAAGTACGGAAAATACTACAAAAAGTTAGAAAGGAAAAAGGAGACAGATGATACTCAAAATAATGTCACGTTAGGAAAAACTGATTCCATTTCTGGCGTATATCATTAACTGTTCAGAGCAAGCAAGAACTAAAACTGAAAAAATAAAAATTATAGTAAAGGCAGCAGCAAAATTCTTTAATGTCAAAGATCTATCATGGGAAAAAATTCAGGATGATTTAGATATGGAGAACGATTGTCTGAAAATGAGGCTTCTCAAATCACTACATAATTCTAATACTACAACGCTCGAAGTTTAATAGCTAACGGTCAGGAATTTAAAGGGTTCATTAACAAATTAAATACAAAAGCAGACATGTATTCAAGAAACATGGCTTAAATCATCATTGCAATTTGGTGTTCATGGTTATGCAGTTTTACGTGAAGATAGAATAAATGGAAGTGGAGGAGGAGGAGGGTGCGCTATACTTATAAAGGAAAACATAAAATGTATTCAAATGCAAATAAATATGGATCTAGAACTTAATGTGGTTAAAATTTTGACAAATAATGGAATTATTAAAATAATTATTATAATCCTTGTAAGAAAATGGAGAAAGCAAAACTTCAAACAGTCGTTAGATACTGGAGAGGGAAAATAATTTGGTGTGGGGATTTTAATGCACATAGTACTTTGTGAGGAGAACAAGATGATTATAATGGTGGGGTCTTAGAAGAAGTGATTGAAGAAAGAAATGGTAGTGTTAAATAATGGTGTAGGCACTAGGGTAGATTTGATAAGAGGTAGAGAATCAGCCATTGATCTGACACTAGTATCACAATCTTTTCAGAGGGATGAGAGCCTTCTTATTATCTTTAAGAATGATAGTTGCAGCTGGAAAGTATATAAAAATAGTACAATAGGAAGTGATCATTATCCAATTTTTGTTGAATTAGAAATGGATATAGAAGAAGAACAGGTAGTAAGTCAAGGGAAATGGAGATTTGGGGATACAAATTGGGAAAACTATAAAAAAATAAGTGAAGTTTGTATAGTAAATATAGATATAAATAAACCAATAAATGATTTAAATTTAGAAATTAGTAATAGTATTGTTCATGCAGCAAAAACAATCATTCCTAGAAGTAAAGGCGTTAAAAAGAAGAAGATAGTTCCTTGGTGGACTCTAGAGTGTTCAATAGCAATTAGAATAAGAAACAAGGCCTATAAAAATATTTAAAAATATATTTGCTTCCAAAATATAATCAGAGAAAATGAGCAGAAGTCAGGAAGATTATAAGAAATGCTAAGAGGAATTATTGGAGAAAATATTGTGAGTCATTGGGGAAAAATACGGCATTAGACAGGGTTTGGAATACCATTAAGAAAATGTCAGGTAAATCAAAAGAATACTTTTTCCCAGTATTAAAAGATAATGGTAACACTATAATAGATAATAAGAACAAAGCAGAAGTATTGGCAAGAGCATTTACTAAGATACATAGTATGGACAATCTTAGTAATACTGAAAAAAAGGACAGGAAATGACATTAAAAAATCACAATGAGCTGCTATATAATGATGAAGATGAGATTATAAATATAAAAATTTCTTTAATAGAATTAAATAGAGCATTAAGAAAATCTAGTAAATCAACGCCTGGGGAAGATCAAGTTAATCATATTATGTTAAATAATCTTAGTGAAAAAAGTAAGAAGATATTACTAGAAATGTATAATAAGATATGGGATGAGGGAATTTTACCGGATAACTGGAAAGAAGATATCATTATTTCTATTTGTAAACCTGGTAAAGATCCACATTCAGCTGAGAGTTATAGGCTGATGGCATTAACATCTTGTATTGGTAAAATAATGGAAAAAATGGTGAATAACAGATTGGCGACCTGTCCACGATGAACCTCGCCTCTCGCCCGGAACGTTAGCTGGAGATAGGGAATATCTCTTGGATGGATTGGTGAATGGATGGATGAATACAGAAAAAAACAGAAAATAATTACAAATGTCCACTAAAGAGGACAATTTTTCAACCTTTAAATACTACGATAAAATACAGTTAAAATAATTCATAGAATGTTTTAATATGTTGCTAACAGACTTATTTAGAATATACCAACAAAATTTTAAACCAAAATTTACACAATAAAAAGTATTATGCACTTACTTTGTCTCTCCCCATAAAATGTGCTTGTGCCGATGAACGTCATTTTTATGAATGAAAAAAAGAAAGGAACAAAAGTTCCACCCCTTCACAT